AGGATCTGCTCACACAGCAGCAGTTTTACTTGGACAACTCTGACACTGAGAATTTTCACCCTGCCCTTACCTGGAAGAGAAGGCTCTGCTGGCCTGTTTCGGGGTCTCTCTGTTTGGTCACTGTAAGGAAAATAGGAAAGCTGAGAACATCCCACAGCAGGGTTGGAGCAGGATTATTCTGCCCCAGGAAACTCATAAAGCTTCCAACAACAAAATATTACAAGATTTTTCTCCCATTTATCAAACAAAATGTCACATTTTCTTTATCCAAAGCTACAGCTATGAGGGTGGGGAGGCCCTGGCACAGGTTTCCCAGAGCAGCTGTGGCGGCCCCATCCCTGGAAGTGTCCAAGGCCAGGCTGGATGGGGCTGGGAGCACCCTGGGATATTGGAAGGTGTCCCTGCCCATGGCAGGGGGTTGGAATGGGATGGGCATTAAGGTCCCTTCCAACCCAAACTGTTCTGGGATCCTGTGATACTACTGTGTCCAGCTTTGGGGGCCTCATGACAAGAAGGACATGGAGGGGCTGGAGAGTGTCCAGGGAAGGGAACGGAGCTGGGGAAGGGGCTGGAGCAGCAGGAGCAGCTGAGGGAGCTGGGGGGGCTCAGCCTGAAGAAAAGGAGGCTCAGGGGGGACCTTCTGGCTCTGCAACTCCCTGACAGGAGGGGGGAGCTGGGGGAGGTCAGGTTCTGCTCCCGGGGAACAAGGGACAGGAGGAGAGGGAACGGCCCCAAGTTGTCCCAGGAGAAGTACAGGCAATTCAAACAATAAAGGACACCAGGAGAGAGCCCAGCTCTCATTCATGGGCAGAGCTGCTAAAAAGGCTAATTAACAACTCACATCCCAGCACTGCAGGTGCTGCCCACGGGCACCTCCCGGGCACCCCCCGACCCACCTTTGTAACCTGGGCGCCCAATTTTCACAAATTTCTTCACTTCCACTTTGACCTTCTCTGGGGCAGGTTGGGCAGGGGCTTCCTTGGCTTCCTTGGCAGCTCGCCGGGCCCTGGGGAGGGATTTCAAAATGTAAGGGTTATTACCTGCACTTGCTTCCAAAGGAATCACGCCTGGAAAACCTACTTCCCTTCCCCAGTGTATCCATCCTTCCCCTCCCCAAATGCTGTCACTCAATCACCCACCCCTGAGATGATCTTGGTGCCTGACTCCACAAATGCATTTGAGAACACTTAATTCTTGACATTAAAAAGAACAAACATCACAGCTAAAGCAAAGTAAACTGGATTCCTTAAAACAAAACTTATAAACTTCTCCCAACCTGTATTGACAAATCCAGATCACAGAATCCTGAAATATCCCGAGTGGGAAGGGACCTACAAGGATCATTCAGTCCAACCCTTGGCCCTGCACAGGCACCCCAACAATCCCACCCTGTCCCTCAAAGCATTGTCCAAACGCCCCCTGAGCTCTGGCAGGCAGAGTTCTTTTTACTAGACTCAGAAAATTTGCTTTTAAAACTCTTTCTCCCTTTTCCTTCAGAAATCCCACAATTGGGTTTGAACTTTTGAGCCTGAAATTGAGATTTTCAGCCCCATTTTTGGAGCAGATTCAGGCTGAATCTCCTGGCTGGTGCCAGGCTGCTCACCAGGAATCACAGAACATTCAGGACCTGTGTGCTGCTGTGTAATGCAGTTAAGGGTTGACAGATGAACATAATCATCATTTTAATGGGGTTAAAGGTTTATAGATGAACACAATCATCATTTTAAAGTGCTTCAGTAATGAATAAAGTTATGGTAGAGAATGACTTACAAATTGGTCTGATGCTTCTTCCCCTGTGTATGTGCTAAGTAACTCCCCTGAAATAAAAACCAAGGCAGAAGAAAGTTAAATGAAGGCAGGACTGAAAGATTCTTGTCTCAGAGAGGCTGTCTCACACTGACAAGGGTGTTTGCACCCTCAGCACAGAGGATTCTCACTGAGAGCATACTGCTCTCAACTGCTCAGCTGTCAGGTTTAACACACAAGGCCCTGCCCACCCCTCATCTCTCAGCAGTCACGGCCCAGGTTCTGGCACCTGAAGGTACTGTTATCCCAAAATTCCTGCTGCTGGGATCAGGACAGGCAGGTGCTCTCTCACCTCGTTGTTATGCAGTGTCAGGCAGAGCTTGCACTCGTAGGAGCCCAAGTGATTTTTCATAAAATAGGGGTCCTGGGAAGAGAATGATTGACAAGTTACAAGGAAAATCCATGGCAAAGCAACAGGATAACCAAAATACTGCAGAGTTCTGCACGGGAAGAACTGGTCAGGCACTGCCCAGGCTCCCCAGGGCAGTGGGCACGGCCCCAAGGCTGCCAGAGCTCCAGGAGCGTTTGGACAATGCTCTGAGGGACAGGGTGGGATTGTTGGGGTGTCCTGGGCAGGGCCAGGAGTTGGACTGGATGATCCCTGTGGGTTCCTTCCTGCTCCAGTTATTTTATGGTTCTATGATTCCACAACTGAGTTCAGAATTTAAATCAACAGCACAAAAGAGCTCTAGGATGATGGAAACAGAGACTCAACAGCAGCTCTGTGCACCAGTGACAGAGTTCCCAACTGCACCGAGAAATGGCAAAGTACAAACCGGTCCTGAGGAGACTGGAAATAACCTGAATACAAAGTGCTGGCACCTCCCTGGCAGCCCCATCCCAAATGTTCCTCATTCAAACCCCACATTCCCAGAGACACAAGTATTTAAACACAATCCACCACTCAGAGAAGAGAAGGCTGGGGGGACGTAGGAGCCCCTTCCAGGGCCTAAAGGAGCTCCAGGAGAGCTGGAGAGGGACTTGGGACAAGGGATGGAGGGACAGGACAAGAGGGAATGGCTTCCCACTGCCAGAGGGCAGGGTGAGATGGGATATTGGGAAGGAATTCTTGGCTGTGAGGGACGTGAGGCCCTGGCCCAGGTTTCCCAGAGCAGCTGTGGCTGCCCCATCCCTGGGAGTGTCCAAGGGCGGGTTGGATGGGGCTTGGAGCACCCCGGGCTGGTGGCAGGTGTGTCCCCACCTTGTTGATGTCGATGGTCTCCAGGGCCAGCTGCCGCAGCCGCTCCCGCCGGTCCCGGTTACTCTCCGAGGCCGAGGCGACGCCTCCGCTGCCCGTCTTCCCTCCAGGGCGGTGCTGGAAATCCATGGCGGGGAATTCTGTGCTTCAGCCCCCTCTGGAGAAAGAGAGAGTCTGCAGAAAAGGAGGAGAAGCAACGTGAGTGGTAACTGGACCTGAGGTCACAGAGTGTTTAGCCCCGTCAGTGAGGACACGGGATGAGAACCCCAAAGATGCCCTGGGAACATGCCATGGGATGAGATTCCACATGGAGAGGGTCTGGCACCACCCACTCAGTAAACACAAGTAAAATGATCCAGGAAAAACACCCCCAGAGCCCTTTCCATCTCCTCAGACACTTCCACACACCGACATATCCCCCAAGCCCAGCTGGGTTGAGAGATCCCCCAAAAAGGAGCCTCCCACCCTCACCTGATGGCACAAACAGCCCCAGAACAGCAAGGGTCAACCCCATGAACGTGCCCCCCAACACCTCAGCAAGTGTTAAAGGCACTGTCAAATACTCCCCAATGCCTCAGCAAGGACCAAAGCCCCCCCCCAGATACCCACCAACTCCTCAGCAAGGATCAAGCCCTCTCAAGCACCCCCAGTAAGGGTCAAACCCACCCCTCAAACACCCTCCAACAGCTCACCAAGGGTCACTCCCCCCACATTCCCCTCCCAACTCCTCAGCAAGGATCAGCCCCCCCAAACACCCCAGCACACCACACACCCGTGAAGATCAAACCCCCTCAAACCCCTCCAGGCCCCAAGCAAGAACGACACCCTCAAAAACCCCTCACCAAAGATCAGCCCCCCCCAGACATCCCCCAAGCCCCCAGCGAGGATCACCCCCCAATACCCCCAGCAAGGGCAACCTCAACCCTCCAAACACCCCAAGCACCCCCACCCCTTTAGTGAGGGCCAAAGTCCCCCAAACACCCTCAGTACCTCACCAAGGGTCACTCCCCTCAGGAACCTCCAGATCCCCTCAGAACCCCCCAGGTCCCCTCAGGACCTTCCAGATCCCCTCACAACCCCCTAAATCCCCTCAGGACCCCCCAGATCCCCTCAGGACCGCCCTGATCCTCTGAGGACCCCCCAAGTCGCCTCAGGACATCCCAAATCCCCTCAAGACCCCCCAGATCCCCTCAGAACGCTGCAGGTCCCCTCAGAAAGCCCCAAATCCTCTCACATCCCCTCATATACCCTCAGGATCCCCCAAGTCCCCTCAGAACCCCCCCCGATCCCCTCAAGACCCCCCCAAACCCCCTCAGGACTCCCCAGATCCCCTCAGGACCCCCCAAGTCACTTCAGGACCCCTCAGATCCACTGAGGACCCCTAAAATCCCCTCAGTTCCCCCCAAATCCCCTGAGGACCCCTCAGGACCCGCTAAATCCCCTCATAAACCTCCTAAATCCCCTCAGGATCCCCCAAGTCCCCTCAGCCCCCCTGGAACCCCTCAAGACCCTCCGAACCCCCTCAGAACCCTCCAGATTCCCTCAGTTCCTCCTAGATCCCTTCAAGACCACCCGGATCCCCTCACGACCCCCCAGATCCGCGGAGAACCCCCCAGGACCCGCTAAAACCCCTCATAAACCCTCTAAATCCCCTCAGGATCCCCCGGATCCCCTCACGACCCCCTAAATCCCCTCAGTTCCCCCCAGATCCCCTCAGTTCCCCCCAGATCCCCTCAAGACCCCTCGGATCCCCTCACGACCCCCTGGATCCCCTCAGTTCCCCCCAGATCCCCTCACGACCCCCCCGGCTCCCCCCCGTTTCCCCCCAGATCCCCTCACAAACCCGGGTCCGTCCCGGCTCGCGCGGTCCCGCTCCCGCCCCCTCTCCCCGCGCGCCTGCGCGTTCCCGCCGCGAGCCCTTCCGGGAGCGCGCGAGCGCTTCCCGGGCACCGCCCGGGCCCTTCCGGGAACTCCGGGAACGGCGGGATCGGCACAGGGAACGGCAGGAACACCGGGAACACCGGGGTCGGCGGGAGCACCGGGAACGGCGGGCTCGGCGGGACGGGGGCCGGGGGGCTCCGGCCATGCGCTACAACGAGCGCGAGCTGCTGTCCCTGGCCCGGCAGCCCGCGGAGAAGGCGGCCGAGATCCGCATGAGCGTGCCCAAGAAAGGCAGCGGTGAGCGGGGACGGAGGGGAGGGAGGGACGGCGCGGTCCCGGCTGCGGAACCGGTGGTGGAGAGCGACTGGGAGGACTGGGTGATGTTGGGGGTACCGGGGAATCCGGGCTGGGAAACTGGGGGTAGGAGCAGGGCAGGAACTGGGAACGGGGAGGGGGGATAGGACTGGCTGTGTTGGGTGGGCAGGACTGGGGGGACTGGGAACGGACTGGGAGGACTGGGAAGCACTGGGTGGGGAGAGGGGACTGTGCTGGGTGGGCAGGACTGGGGGTACCGGAGAATCACGAGTGGGAAACTGGGGGTAGGACCAGGGCAGGACTGGGAGAACTGGCAGGATTGGGA